TGTATACTATGTTGTTTCTGCTCTGCCATGCCTGTTTGTCATCGCTGCCTTGGAGTCAGCCAATTATGGACTGAAACTTCTACAAATTGTAAGCCAAAAAAACCTCTTCCCCTCTAATTTTGGATGCCAGGTAATTTGTCTCAGCAATGAGAGAAAAGTAACTAACACACACATATTGGATTCTATGGTACACAATGAAAGCAGTCCTAAGAGGGAAGGTTACAGTGGTGAATTCTCACATCAGAAAAACAGAGTGAGCTCAAATAAATAACCTAATGATGCATGTTAAGGTCCTAGAAATCCTAAAACAATCCAAACCCAAAACTAGTACAAGGAAGGAAATTATAAAGATCAAAACAGAAATTAATGAAATCCAGACTTTAAAAATACAAAGAATCAATGCCTTGAAGAGTTGGTTCTTTAGGGGCTGGAAATTTAGCTCAGTGGCACCAAGCCTGCCTCGCAAGCACAAGGTCCTGAGTTCAATCTCCAGTACCCCCTCAAAAAAGAGTTGGTTCTTTGAAAGACTAAACAGACAAACCCTTAGCCAATCTTACCAAAATAAGGAAAGAAAAGACCCAAATCCATACAATTAGAAATGAAAAGGTGAAATCCAGGAGATCATCAGTTTGAGAACCTATATTCTAATGAAATGGAAAATTCAAACGAAATGGATAAATTCCTAGATACTTATAAACTACCAAAGCTGATCCAAGAAGATATAAAAATCCTGATTAACCCAGTATCAGTCAGTGAAACTGAAGCAGTAATAATAATAAAAAAAAAACTCTACCAACTAAAAAAAGCCTAGGTCCCTATGGATTCACTGCCAAACTCTAAAAGAACTTTAAAGAAGATCTAATGCCAATACTCCTCAAACTCTTTAATGAAATCAAAAAGGACGCAGGACTCCTCAAGTCATTCCTGAAAGCAAGTTTTACTCTGATTCTAAAACCAGAGGAGAACCCAACCAAGAAAGAGGACTACAGGCCAATCTTGATAATGAATACAGATACAAAAATCCTCAATAAGATACTGGCAAACAAAATGCAGCAAATCATCAAAAAGATCACACATCATAACCAAGCAGGATTCAGTTCAGGGATGCAGAGATGGCTCAACATATGCAAATCAATAATGTAATACACTACATAAACAGAAGCAAGGACAAAAATTCACAAGACCACTTCAATAGGTGTAGAAAAAGCATTTGAGAAAATGCAACATCGATTTATTATTTAAAACCCTGAAGAAAATAGGAATAGAAGGTCTTTATCTCAACCTGATAAAAGCCATCTATGACAAACCAAAAGCCAACAGTGAGAAGCTGAAAGCTTTCTCTCTAAAATTAGCAACAAGCCAAGGATGTCCGCTCTCACCACTGCTGTTCAATATAGTTCTCAAAACATTTGCTAGAGCAATTAAACAAGAGAAAGAACTAAAAGAGATATGGAGAGGAAAGGAAGAAGTAAAATTATTATTATTTGCAGATGACATGATACTCTACATAGAAGACCCCAAAAACTCCACCAAATAACTCCTAGAATTAATAACCAAATTCAGTATTATAGCCAGATTCTTATGGCTTATACCTAGATGTCCCCACAAAGCCTCACATGATCACAGGTGGGGCTTTGGGGAAGTGACTGGATCATGGGTGTATGATCCTGGATCATGGGTGCATAATACTGAATTAGTCCAATGATTGGTTTAGCATAGTTCTGAGTATGGATGATGGACTTACTAAAGACAGAAGACTCACCCTGAGTGTGAGCAGCACCAACCAATAGGCTTGTAGCCTAGATGGAATAAAAAGGGAAAGAAAGAAGGAGGTAGGCACGGTGGCACACGCCTGTAATCCCAGCACTCGGGAGGCTGAGGCAGGAGGATCACCCTGAATTCAAGACCAGCCTGGGCTACATAGTGAGTTTAGGGCCAGCCTGAACTACAAAGGGAGACCCTGCCTCCAAAAATAATAATAATAATAAGGCTTGCTGCCTCCTGCCTGCCACACCAGGAACTGTTTCTCCTCTGCCATGCTGCTTGTCCTGCCTTAGAGCTAGCCAACTATGGACTATAACCTCTACAAACTGAACTAAAATAACCCTTTCCTCCTTTAACTTGTGGGTGTCAGGTATTTTTTCCCAGCAAGGAGAAAGTAACTGAGACAAAGATACAAAGTCAACACTCAAAAATCAATATTCTTCTACATTAATAACAAATTCAACAAGACAGAAGAAATTAGGGAAACAATACCTTTCACAATAGCATCAACAAATTGGTTAGGAATTAACCTAACCAAGGAAGTGAAAGACCTCTACTGTGAAAACTACAGTACTCTGAAAAAAGGAGATCAAAGAGGATATCAAAAAATGGAAAGATATCTCCTATTCCTGGATAGGCAGAACCATATAGTCAAAATGCCATACTTCTAAAACAGTTATGAACATTTAATGCAATCTCAATGAAAATACCAATAGCATTCCTTACAGAACTAGAGAAACCAATCCTAAAATTCATATAGAACCAGAAGAGACCTAGAATAGCAAAAGCTATTCTGGGTCATAAGGGCAAGGCAGGGGACATCACAATCCTGACTTCAAGTTATACAACAAAGCTACAATGATAAAAAACAAAAAACAAAAAAACAGACTTATGGATCAATGGAACAGAATAGAGGATGCAGAAACAATTCTAGGCACACTCAGCTAGTTATCTTTGACAAAGAGGCCAAATACTTTCACTGGGGAAAAGACAGCCTCTTTAATAAATGGTTTTGGGAAAACTGGCCATCCACATGCCAAAGATTGAGACTAGACCTATATCTATCATCATGTACTAAATTAAAGTCAAAATGGATCAAAGAGCTTAATGTTAGAACAGAAACACTTAATTTGCTGGAAGACAAAACAGGTAAAACACCTGAAGACATAAGTGTAGGCAAAGACTTTCTGAACAGAACCCTGGTTGCACAGGAAATAATACCAAGAATCAATAAAAGGAATCAAATCAAATTAAAAAGCTTATGCACAGCAAAGGAAACAGTGGCATAGTTAAGAGTTCATTCTGCTTGGGGTAGTCCTTCAATTTGCTGCCCTCCAACATATCTGAATATGTTAACCTATTTAAATACCACCTGTTATGGCTTGTGTCTAGATGTCCTCCCCAAACCTCAGCATTTGAAGGTGTGGCTTTTTTACAAGCGGCTGAATCTAGCATATGTGATTGATTCATGGTGCACTGCTAAGTTTTAGGGCACTAGGATTAAGGGTGTAAGTGCTACTTGCCCTTAGTTGTCTGAATAAGATAAAAGGGGCAGAAAGATGCTGTTGAGTTCCCTTGCTCCTTTTGCTGTCTTCCACCATCATGAACTGTTGCCCCTCTGCTATGCACCACCTTCCCTTGGAGCCAGCTGATTATGGACTGAAACCTTTACAAACTGTGAGGTAAAGAAACCTTTCCTCTTTTAACTCTGGGTGTCAGGTATTTTGTTATAGCAACGAGAAAAGTAACTAAGATACTGCCCAAAAAATGTGCCACCTATGGCAGACTGCCCCCACCCATCCAGCTAGAACACTGAAAGAAAACCACCCATAGAGTGAAAAGATAACCTACAGAATGGAAAAAAAAATTTTTGCTAGCTACTTCTCAGACAAAAGACTAATATCTAGAAAATATAAAGAATTCAAAAAATTAGACCCCAAAATTTAAAGACCCAATACAAAAACAAGCATTTGAAATGAACAGACACTTCTCAGATAAAGAAGTTCAAACAGCAAATAAATACATGAAAAACTGCTGAGTTCAATCCCTGAAAACAAACAAAAAAAACTGTTCAACACTGCTTGCCACTTGAGAAATTAAAACAACACCAAGATTCCATCTCGCTACAGAAAGAATGGTTATCATCAAGGAATCAACCAATAACAAATGCTAGCAAGATTGTTGGTGGGAGTGTGAACTGATACGATCACTATGGAAATCACTACGGAGATGCCTTAAAAACTAAAAATAGAAATTCCATTTGACCCAGTTGTTCTCTCTTGAGGTGCATTCTCAAAAGAGTTAAAGATGTCATACCATAATGACATATCCATTCCCATATTGATAGTAACACAATTCATAATAGCTAAATCTTGGAAATAGCCTATGTCCACCAACAGATAAATGAATAAAGAAAATGTGTGCAGGGCTGGGGATTTAGCTCAGCAGCACTGTGCCTGCCTTGCAAGCACAAGGTCCTGAGTTCAATCCCCAGTACCAAAAAACCCCCCACAAAATAGAGTATTACTCTGCCATAAAGGATAAACTTCAGTCATTTTTAAGAAAATGGGTGCACCTTGAGAACATAATGTTAAGTGAAATAAATTAGACACATAAGCTTAAATTTCACATGGTTTCTCAAAAGAAACTCAATATATAAGTGCAAAATGAAAAATAGATAGTAAAAAAAACAGTGGAGAGAGACAGATAAAGTTATTGTAATCCAGCATGGACAGTGTATCTAAAAGTGTGCCCTGATTTAGTATAATAGTCTTAGGTGTTTTATGTTTTTTGGCCTATTGGTCTGCTTGTTAAACTCTATGTATGATAATTAACTTTGTAAGGACTTATAAAATAAATAAATGAATCTGATACTGGCAAAAAGGGTGGGAGGAATTGAGATGTGTTATGTATATGTACTCATTCCTCCACAATGAATGTAATCATTATGTACTTCAAACATGTACTAATAAAAATTTAAAATAAAAACCAAATTGTATACTGTTTTTAGTATGTCACAGAATGCTGGGGATAGTTTTTTAAAGTCATGAAAACAATAGTGATATACTTCAAATATTCTAATATAAAAATTTTTTTTTTTGGTACCGGGGATCAAACTCGGGTCCTTGCGCCTGCACACCAGGCAGCGAAACCACTGAGCTAAATCCCCAGCCCTAATATAAAATTTTTTAACTGAAATGTTTTCAAACTATCTCAGATGCCTATATAAGCCTTACCTGAAAGAGTCTTTTCATATGAAACACACTGATGTCTCCACAAAGAAATGGCAGATCTCTCTCGATTTTGCAGTCCATTTAGTCTTTCTGCTAATCCGCCTCTGTTTAATGTATTAAGTTTAGTTAGAAGAAAAGCTTCAGAAGAGCCAGAATTTATATTTTACACTCCCCAATCGGGGAGATAAAACATACCAAATTTTAATGTAGTTTTCATATTACAATATCTTCCTAGAGGCCATACCCTCCAGGTCAGTTTTTAGTTTTCTTGGAAGCTCCATTTCCTGATTCTTAGAAATATAAGGTAATATTACCTTCTAAGAATACAGTATCATATTCTTAAAAATATGACAAGTATCAGTTAGTTTCTGTTCTTAGTTCATTTATTCATTCCATAAACATATACAGCTTACTGTTATCTGCTATATGCTAGGCTTAACGCTTTGCTAATTAATAGGGACAAAAAGATAGCTTTGTACCATGCTATAGAGGAAGCTCACAATGGATCAGCAGATGGAGGAAACAGATAAATGTGAAGTGGGTTCAGAGTTCCAGTCAAGAATAACTTTATATATATACCAGAACAATTTATAATAGCTAAATCTTGGAAATGGCCTATATGCTTATCAACATATGAATGGATAAAGAAAATGTGGTATTTATTCACAACAGAGTACCACTCTGCCATAAAGAAGGATAAACTTGCATTCATAGGTAAATGAATGCATTTTGAGGCTGTAATATTAAGTGAAATAAATCATACACACAAGCTTAAATATCACATGGTTTCTCCTTTTTTTGTTGTTGTTTTTGTTTTTGGTACCAGGGATCAAACTTGGGTCCTTGAGCTTGCGCAGCAGGCGGCAAAACCACTGAGCTAAATCCCCGGCCCTCACATGGTTTCTCTTAATGAGAAATCCAAAATATAAATAAAGAGCAAAATAAAAGATAACACAAAGTAGGGAGATCTTTATCAAATGGGAAAGGGAATGAGAGAGGAAGGAATGGGAGGAAAAAAAGGAATTAAAACAAAATAGAAATAGAGCTCTTTTAAATGGGAAGGGGATCAAGAGTTAGAAATGGTGAGGAAGGATGGGAGGAGGAGGGAATGAAAAACAGAATTAAGATGTGTTATATACATGTACCAATAATAAATGTAATCTTTATTCATTGAAAAGATGTACTAATAGGGCTGAGGATTTAGCTCAGTGGTTCTGCCCCCTGCCTCACAAGCACAAGGTCCTGAGTTTGATCCCCAGTACCAAAAAAAAAATGTACTAATTAAAAAAAAACCTTGCCAAATTGTTGATAGGTAGGATATTCAAGTAAGAGTATTTAAAACTAGGCCCACTATTTGAACTCTAGAAATTGAGTATCAATCACAAACACATAGCAAGGATTACAATATTATAAAAAAAGAAACTTTCAGGGCTGGGGATTTAGCTCAGTGGTACCACTGCCTGCCTTGAAAGCGCAAGGTCCTGAGTTTGATCCCCGGTATCCAAAAAAAAAAAAAGAAACTTCCATGAATAGTAGTAAGACAATTTGTAACAATTTGCATATAGCTACTTCATAAGAGCCTACTTATCAATGAATGTGCATACTTATTGATGAACATATATATTCACTGTTATAAAATTATATATAAATATTAATATTTAAAGTTATATAAGTATACACACATATACATATATAGAGACAGGGAGAAATCAGCAGCTCCTATCACAACTATAATCTCAAGAGAAAACAAGATCAGTTGTTAATCATCATGATGGTTACATAATTTTCAATGTATTAACTCACAGATTATTTATTACTTCATTGATCATTTTACTGCATTATATCATTTTACTCAAACAGTAGCCTCTTTAGGTAGAAAGACAAATATCAACATCTACATCACAGATGATAAAATCAGAGACAAGAGGTTAAAGAACATCTCCATTATTATAAAATTAGCTTTGATGAAGAATCCATTGTTAAAACCCAACAGGACTTTGTATAGTGCCTGACATTTATTAAACCTTCAAGAAATGTCCATCATTAGTGTTACCATCCTTGTTATGGCTTTTAGTTAAGTTTTATGCTTTTTATACTATGATTAAAATTATCATACTTATTATCATTATACATAACATATATTATACATCTTATACTTACCATTAATGTAACCTACTGTTTTCCTATATGTGGTAATTATTTCTGAATGTGTTTATGTGTATGTACAGCATACAGAACACAAAATTTAAAAAAATAAATCTGGGCTGGGGATTTAGCTCAGTGGTTTCACCACCTGCTGCGCAAGCCGCAAGAACCCAAGTTCTATCCCTGGTACCAAAAAAAAATTATATTTGCAATATAAATATAAGAAAAAGGCAAAACACTGCATTCTTTACAGACTAGATAATTCATTGCCAATCTTGGGTCTCAGTACTATGACTTTACAGAGGAAAAAAGAAGACAAAGTAAACTCTAAAAGTAGCTGGTTAAAAGTTCAAACTAGACCCCTCTAAAAAAAAAAAACTGTAGGAATTATAGGATGAAATGTAAAAGCAAGAGTGAACATGCACAAAGAACTTGTTGACACATGGGAGGGTCTGAGTCCTCATATAAAATCTGTGACACTAGCTGAGTTTAGGAACTAAGGACTGTGAGGGTCCCTCACAGGTCACCTGTTTTCCCTCTGCTCCAAATATGCCCACAGAATACCTGCATGGAATTCTGGTCAATGTACCTAAACTTAGGAATGGAAACACCATGTGATCTAATGAACAACCCTATTTCTAAAAGTCAGACACAGAAAGACAAGTATTAGATGTTCTCCCTCATATATGAAAATTAACTAAATAAGTAAGACCTAAAAGTAGAAGAGAGACTATTAGAGAAGAGGATGATGACAGGAAGAAGAGGGAGAAAGGGGACTCTGGAGACCTCAGCACCAGGAATGTGTCTAACAACATCTTTGATATTTGCTTAAAACAAATCAAGTACAGTCTGGCTTGGATAAGTCACTTCCGTCCTGACCACTTTATAACCTCTCCTTGCTCTAAACTAAATTATGGGATCCACAGGTTATACTGCCACCCAAAACCATACTTCTTTCACTAAGTACCCAAAAAATTATACTTTATGCAATTCTGGATCTGTCTGTCTCTTTATTTGATCTCATGACACCTTGGGACCAGTTCTCATATACCAGGACTGGGTTTTTCTACTACACACATTATAGCCTTGTGTCTTATTTTTTGAGAACAAGAGATGGGGACCAGATATGAACTTTCTCACCTGTTACTCTCATCTCAGTAGACTCTGCCACATTCTCATATGTTATTATCCTCAGGACACGCCTCTGCCTTCCTGATCTGCCTCCCTCACTTTCTCTCCAGAAGCTGACAGACCATTACCTTACCCTCTGCCTCTACTGGCCTGCCTCACTGTCTCAGATACTATCGCTCCTAATCTCTGCAACGTCTCTAGAGGCTGCATCCCTTTCAGGCCACTAGCAACTAACCCTCAATCCTACCACAGGAGTCATGGCACCACCCCTATTTCTTTCATTACACATTCCTTCAGCCATGGTGTCTCTTCATCATAAAGGCTTGTCACATAGTTCTTTCTCACTTTCATTGGTTTTTATTATTATTGTTTTGTTCTTATTCAACAAAGACACTTTGTATAATACAGGGTAGGGACAGGTCCTTTCAGGCTCTTTCATGCATCCTGCTTGGCCTGCCTGCTACTCCAATGACAGGAATATTCCTCCACGGTGGCTCTCCACAGCCACACCAGCTGTTTCTTGTCCTTGAGTCTTGGCTCTCATGCTTGCATTTGCGAGCATTACCCTGGCTAATCTCTCTCACCATACTCATAAAAGTAACCTGATAGGATTGATATTTATTTCTATTTCTTTCTTTAGACTATAAATTACTAAAGAACAGAACTGTAATGCACTTGTCTATTTGTCTAACACAGCACCTGAACACTGATCTACACTAAGGTTTGATAAGTCAAACAACAAATCTCTATCAAGCAAAAGGAGTCACGTAAGTTGGTCATCACAAAATCCATGAACACTCAACTTGAATAAACAATTTCAAGAATCAAGACTTCACTAATTGCTTATCAACATTAGAGAATTGTAATTCTTCCAATTTTCTTTCCCAAGTAAACAAGTATTTTTAAATTAACATTTCAGATATTTGGGTTTCTTAAGAAAACAAGAAAAAAGTACTTTAAAACATAATTTAACCTTAAAAGTTTCTTCTTCTTTGCTGAATCTTCTGGAGTCCTAGGAAGCTTGGCTGTCTGTTTCTGGGGTGTACACAAGACGGGCTCTGTTGATCTCACCCTTGGGTTGACCAGTCTGTCCATTATCTGCCTTGTATCCAGTCCAAAATCCATGTGGTATTTGTGAGGGGACTCTGAATCAATGAATAGGACATCCTCTGAGTCATCTTCTTTCTCACTATGTGATGAATATTCCAAAATTTCTGCAGAAATTGGCTGGGAAAATTAAGAGAAATGCAATTAAATATTCTTTATTCAAGCCCATATGTATCCAGGCCTATTATTCTATTTCATATGATTAAACTCCTTAAAATAGCTTCTTAATTACAGTATATGTAGCTTGGACTTGTTTTGATGCAAAATCCAACAGTAACCAGGAACAAAGACAACAGGTTAAACCAATTGTCAGATATTATGTCACAGAGCTCACTGAAATCAATATAAATATATTTCTACCTTCCTTCAGGAAGCTAAAAGACATGTGTCACAGGTACACATGGTCTCTAAAACTGAACTAATAACACTATCTGAAGGCTGATGAGAATCATCTATTAGGAAAAAGTATTTCTTGGATTTTAAAATATAATGTGGAGCTAAATAATATTCACTATTTGTTAAAAATCAAATATTTAAAAATTGCCTCTTCTAGTGTAAACCACTTAAATTTACCAAAGCCATCTCCAAGAGTAAAGACGAAAATTTGACTTTTCAAGCACAATTCCAATATAACATTTTTCAGAGTCTAGTTAAAAATTGCTAATATGGGCCACCGCCTGCCTTGCAAGCACAACGTCCTGAGTTCAATCCCCAGGACCAAAAATAAAATGCTAATATGAACAAGAACTATTTAAGAATATGATTGTCTCCTTTTCCTAACATTTCCTAAAATGTTTTCTTTCTCCTACTCAAATTTCTAAACTTCCAACTGGATCATGAGACAGGAATTATATCCACACAGCCAATCTTGCAGAGGAGAAGCAAAACCTCCTTTCTGATGTTTTCTGTCTTTGCCCAGTCATGTTACTAAACTATGCATGAAAAGATTTTATATTCCTATCACTGGATTTTACAGGTTAGTCCCATGTTGTACACTAGTCAGTAACAATTTATCCTCTGATATTCTAATTTTCTAATACATTAGCAGCCCCATCTAATTTAGTACTTACACCAGATTGTAAATTTACTAAAAGTGAACACACCTTTAGTTGAATGGGTATTCTGGTCCCAATCAATTCATAATGCAAGTATGAACTCACTCGGGGGAAGCTCCATCTAGTTGGATGGATTACCACTGACTGTGATCCTGATCATGGAGGAGGCACTTGGGTGAAGACAGTGAAAAGGATACAAGGGCTACTATGTGGGTACATGGGTGTGTGTGCACACTACTATTGACAGCAACATTAGCGTTTTCATCATTTGATCATCTATGTAAAGGCTTATCACATTTGGCCTTTTCTAAGGATTATGTTAAGTCCTTTTTAAAAAAGATACTAACCATCCCCACACCTCCTCAAACCCATTACTTGGGTAATTATCTATTAGGAACACTTACAAAAATGAAAAAATTTCCAAAGTAAACGACAAGCTTGATTTTACTGTCCTTTCATCCTTTCAGTTTTGTGCCTAAATCACTGTAGCTGCTCATCCATTAATAATCACTAAGGGCACATAGTTTCCCAAGACATTTCTGAATAAATATTAATGAGCCACCAAAAAACCAAAACAGTTTAGTTTAAAAATAAAGCTGTGTGCTACTGAAAATCTTTATACATTAACTTGAAAACTCCATATTTAAATAATTTCATATTTTTGTTACAAAATGACTTTTTTTTAAAGACAAGGACTTGTTATGTGGTTCAGGCTATATGTATTCACTATTCAGGCTTGTGTTCACTATGTAGCCCAGGCTGGCCTTGAACTCATGGTGATCCTCCTCCCTCCACCTCTCTCGTACTGGGATACATGCACCACCACACCTGACTGAAAAGCCAGTTTGTAGGACAATGTTTTGTACTTCATCCTAGAGCAGGTTCTCTCAACCTCAGAACTACTCCCATTTGGGGCAGGGATGGTGAGGAGTTAATCCTATGGACTGTGTTTGGAAGCATCTGGCTCCACCCAATGGACCATAATAGTCCCACCCCACCAGTCACAATAAAAAATGTCTCCAGACATTGCCAAATAACCCTTGGGGAACACAATCACCCCAAGTTGATAACTACTATCTTAGAAATAAGTCAACAAATAATCGACCACAGGCAGCCTGTGCTGGGGACTCACACGCAAACATTAAAAGGATTAAAGGTAATTAATCATGGAGATGGGGAAAGCCAAACTTTTAAAACTATTTAGTTATAAAACACCGTGGTAGAAGAATTGCAATAGAAGTATTATTTGGACTCCAAAAACATTTGAGAAAAACGGCAAAGCAAGGTGGGTAGCACACATAGGGGAAAGAAAGAAAAGAGTTGAAATGTTAGAAAAGGTTTGTTCCCCAGGACCTGCCATGGGAATCAGAATACTAAGTGTAGGTTAGTAAGGCTGAAGAAGGAGGAAGCACATTCCAGAGAGAAAGAATAGCATAACAAGGGAGCATAGAAGATACACAGGAAAATCTATAAGAAGTGCTAAGAGGTAAAGCTTGTAGAATATGGAACTGCATCTGGCTGTATTATGAGGCAGGAGGTGCCGATGGCAGTTTTAAATGGGGGCTAACAAAACCAGGTGCTAATATGGAATGATCATTCTGAAAACTATGGGAGGAGGAGATCCATGCCAGCAAGTTAGCAAGGGAGGTAGCTAGAAGGCTTTTCTATATTCAGAGCCAGGCATAAAGAGTATCTGAGTGGGATAGAAAGCACTTTGGGAATTGTAAGAAAAGAAACAGTGCATGAAGGCAAGAGAGGTGGAGAAGATTGCCCATGAAAAGTATATAGAAGTAGGAAGAGAAGGGCCAACCTTGGGAATTTCATCAATTCAAGTGCGAAAAGGCAGAAAAAGTGGTTTTAACTTGAAAACAGAGAGATTATACAGAAATATATGATAACAAATCTATATTCTTGGTAAAACATGCTTTGAAGGATAAATGGGAGGTGAATTACAATCTATGATAATCAATTTTAGGCACATATAGTTTAGGCTGTCACTAATGAGACGCTATTAGCTACTTCCCATATATTATATAAAAATATATTGAATGGGTAGTACTCACATACTATCTTAGCTCATATAATTAATACAAAGAAATCTTCAAGCTCATTCTTGCTCTTGTATAATACAGTCAATTTAAAAGCTGGGGGTGGGAGACCAACTAAAACTACAAAGCAATTTACATGCAATTCCCCTCCAAAATGTGCACACAACAGAAGTAAGAGTGAAGAAGAAAGATCACTTGAGACAGTAGTAGTCTAGACTGTCTTCCCCAGTAAAATTGGTCTTTGATCCTTGGCCTTACCCTTTACTATCAGAAAACATTAGGCAAGTGATTTAACTTCTCCATGCCTTTTTTTCATCATTTTCAAACTGGAGATGTAATATCTAACATAGTAAGCACTTTATAAATATTAGTCATTCTTTTTACTCCCATGGTAGCTTAAACATACATTTTAGCTTTACAGTTTATATTTTTGAGCTTTATATTCATTTTTATTTAAGTATTTTCTATTTCAAAGAAAACTTCTATAAAAAGGTCATTGAGGAACACAATAAATAATGTCTTCAGCAGATAATCAAAAAGACACTGTCTTAATCAGCCACATAAAGCATGTATGTGTCGCATAGACTTTTTTAAAAGAACCAAGGTATAATGAGTACCTTTGAAAAAGACAACTAGAAGCCAACTCCCCTCGAGCCCATCACCCCAGATGAAGGTAGAGGAACTCTCCACGCATGGACAGTGATGACCTGGCAGACTCACTAGATACCAGCTGTCTTTGGCCTAAGCCTGACTATGAGGAACATGTTCTTTCAAAAAAGGAGGAGGTATATATGTGTGCACAGATGTGTGTATGCCTAGGAAGATGAAAAGAGAATAATGCTATATCAAAGATGTCTGCAGATTCATATGTTCAATCTTCTATTTCACCCCTATATTGTAGAATAAGATTAATGTGAAATAAAGGGTCATGAGTTTTTGGACAAGAAACACTTTTTTTGGTGGCAACTGAATCCTGTGCCTATTCTCTTCCTTCTTGGAGCTAACTCCCACCTGATTATAGATCATTAATGTTCTTTCCTACATAGTGCTCTAGAGTCTAATTATACTACTTCTACTTACTTCACTGTTGAGAGACATAGGGTTTTACAAATTTCCACATTATAAAAGTACTGTAGAACAGTGGTCCCCAACCTTTTTGACACCAAGCACTGACTTCATGGAAGACAATTTATTTGTTGGGGGATGGTTTATTTGTGTAGAAGGGTGATTTGGGATTAGATTTTCATGAGGAACATGGAGCCGAGATCCCTTGTGTGCCCAGTTCACAGGAGGGTTCATGATCCTAAAATACTCTAATGACACTACTGACAGATTAGTCAGATAGACAGGAGGTAGAGTTCAGGCAGGAATGCAAGCTGTAAGGAGTGGTTGTAAATAATACAGGTGAAGTTTTGCTCACCAACCTACTGCTCACCTCCTGGTTTGAGGTCAAGTTCCTAACAGAACATAGACCAGTACTGGTCTGTGGCCTGGGGACTGAGGACCCCTGCTGTAGCCCATGTGCTTGTTTCACTGGGCAACATATGCCAGCTTCTATGTGGTGTTTACCAACCCAGGAGCTTACTGAATAGTTCATTCATTCTCAACTTAACCAATAATTGTGAGATGGCTCCGAAGAGCCACTGTCCTGAAAGACACCCAAAACCACTAACAGTATGTGAAACCTATGATACACAATCAACTTCACTACTTTTAGACTTCTAAATTTTTATCTGACAGATGTGAAATGCCATTTCTCTCATTTGCATGACCCTGATAATTCAGAGTTGACCGTCTTCACATTTGTTTATCAGCCCTTCATATTTCTTCTCCAGTGAACTGCTTGTTCATATATCTTAACCCTTTTCTCTATTAGAAAAGATAATGACTTTTTAAATTACCCAGATCTATGTGTTACATAGATAGACAGAAATTGGTCAGAAAATTGTTAAAGTTAAAAGTGACAGAGAAAAAAAAATCTAGTATAAAACATGGACATTTGTCTTGTACCTTAAGA